ATGGAATAAAGTCCACACTTCTTAACCTGATCTTCTTTGGCCTTGAGGACAATATGTTCTTAACTTGAAATATACCATTCTTTCCTTTTCCTCAATGAGTTTTCCTTTGTGATTCAATCATGCATTATATCTTGTAATTTATTCTGTTTTGTAGATAGCTATTAGTATTTTTCTTTTCTCCCTAGAACACTCAGGAACTTAAGCTCCTTAAGGACAGGACCTACGTTTTGCTCATTGTCTTTACCATTTGAGCACCCTCTGTGCAGCAAACATTCAGTAAAGTGCTTGTTGAATTAATGTTTTGGAAATGAAGCATAATACATTCTCCTGTAGATATGGAACAATCTACCCATTTAGGAAATTTAGCCAGTAATTTCGGTATCTTTCACCACCATTCAAAACTGACCAGCTTTAATAATCAGCAGCATCACAATACACTACAATATATTAAAGAAGTTATACATAGCATTTCTGTGTAAATTTGAAAGCATCTATCCTAAGTCATAATGTAAAAAAGTAATTGGAGCTAAGTATCAGGTACTGGACAAATCATTGTATTTTTTCTCCTGGAAAACTGGAGAAAGGCAGGAAAAACTTAAGTAGTAAGGTAACAACACATCAAGTTAGAAATTGGTTAAAATCCAAAGAAAAATATTGGTGGGCATATTTGCTCATACACAGCCACTTTTATAAGAGAAAACAATTTTGTATACACAGCTCCTTTCTTTTAAAGAGAAAATAATTTGTTTAGTTGCAGACAGAATCACAGGAGTAAGGATTCTTGTATTTATTCTGCATAGGCTGCATAGGTTCTGGCTAAAATCACTTTTTAAACAAGTAGAACCATTGTCAGCATTTGAATTGAGGGAAAGGAAGCAAGTCAGATGGGATATCATCCCTTCCAGAAAGTCTGAAACCATCACATGTCTCAGAAGATTAAAGAATATCATGCCATGGCAAGCCATTTCATTTCCTTTTTTTGAGACTAAATTGAATCATCCCACTTCTTTTTTCTTCACTTCAATAGTGATTAAAGGAGACTATCATATTATGCTATATCAAGGTACTATTTAACTTTGACTGTGTCTTTCCTTATTTTGAAACAGTCATTTTTAAAACGTTTCACTGATTTCTTTGGACCAACTTCAGACAAGCCAAGATAACTGTACAGCTAATAATCCAAAAGGAATTTTTATGTGTGTTTGTGGGATTCACCTTGGAGTAGAATCAAGTTTAAGCGTTAATGTTAAAGAATTGCCATTAACTAAGTTTAAAATCCCTCAAATGGTAGCAATATACTTTTAAGCGGGTGATGAATCAGTGAAATAAGGGTAAGAACTGGCTGAGTTCCTTGTGTGCACAGTTAGGACTCAGTAAGTATTTTCTTGTTAAATAAATGAAAAGGCTTTTTGGGCAGGGGGCTTGTGGTCACAGGTTGTTAGAGTCAGGAACATCTCAGGGTTGCCTATTATATTGTAGCTACATGGTGTATGAGTAGACAACCCATAAACATTGTATCTGGCTAGTTTGATGCCTTGAGACAGTATATCAGTCAGCTGTTGCTGTATAACAAATAACCACAAAATTCTCACGTTACATATTTCTCATTCATGCATCTGTTGGTTGGCTGGATTTTGCTGGCACTCAGCTGGGCTTGACTCCAGGTTGCGAGTTGAGTTCAGGTCTATTCCATATGTCTTTCATCCATCCTTCTTGGGCCAGAAGGCTATCTGGGCCATGTCCTTCTTATGGCACATAGGCACAAGAGAGCAAGCCCAGTCACTCAGGGACACTACAAGCCTCTACTTGTGTCGTATCTGCTAACATTCTTTTGGCTAAAGCAGGTCACATGACCAAGTCCAAATTACCGAGCAAGGGAAATACTCTTCTCCCAACCCTTGATAACTTCACTTTGTCTACATTGGTCTTCTTGCTGTACTTTGAACAAGCCCCTCACACTCCCCTCTCAGGATCTTTGCACTTTCTGATCCCTCTATTTAGAGCACCCTTCCCTCAAATACCTGTGTGACTCATATCCTCAAGTCCTTAAAGTTTTTGCTCAACTGCATCTCCTCAATGAGGACTTGCAAGACTCTACTTTCTGATGGCTCTTCCTTATTGCCCCATGCTAACCCTCTCCTGAGACTGTTTAGTACCAGTCGACTTACCTATATAGTTTACTTGTTTGTTTAGCCTGTGTGCCTCCATGAGAATGTGAGTTTCATGGAGGCAGAACTTTTTGTTTGTTTGTTGTTATAACCTCATCACCCAAAACAGTGTCTGGCAGACAGTTGGCTTTTGATAAATATTTGAATTAATAAATTAATCTTAACTCTTCTTAAAATTCTTGTGGGTTTTTTAAAGGCATTTAAAAAGTCTGGCTCAATATCGAATAGTACAATGTTGTTACTTTAACTTCACGTTTCATTTAGTGGTTTTAACTTTTCCAGTATAATCTGACACAGAAAATATTAAGTATTAAGCATTTTTTCAGTGAGTTGATGCACGTCTACTCATGCATATATGTGATGAGTCTGATTTCAATTCTTAAAAGGATGTGAGTTAAAACCATTTTGAGAAATCTTGAAAATATTAAAGAAGAAAATAAGATTATACATTACTTGTTTTTTTACTACCTTGGATGTAGTAGACACTCAAAGAATGTCTGAATGTTTACAATTATCACTGACATGAAAGTTTTCCATTAAAACAAGCCAATTTTACATTTGTACTTGGACACTCATATTTGAGACTCATAGGTAGTTTATTTGTAAAGATCAACTTGGCTGACATCATTAGGTTTATATTTTACAATTTGATCTTTGAAATATTTCAGAGACAGGAATGCCAATCACGTCATTGAACTGTACCTGAATCTTAACACAGTACAATTGAGTTCCTAGAGCTCCAGTATGATGTAATTAAACTGTCAGAAATATTAACATCAATGTTCATAACTGTCTCTGTTGGTTCTGATTTATTCTTGATCTTGATCTTGATCATACTGCCACTAAAGTGGACTTATTGCCATTAAAAATACCTCATGTCTCCCAATTCAGCAAAAATTTGCATCACTAATGGAACAGAGAGATGTAATTGGCCCTGCAGTTGTCAGGATCCTGTTCCTCCTGGTAGTAGTATTTCTTTCATTCATTCCATTGTCTCCAGATAATGGTAGTTTAAAACTGTAAGAAAAAAGAAACTGAAAATACTGAATTTCACTTTTTTTCTAAAGGCAGACACTAAAGCAATCTGTGCGCACGCGCGCGCGCGCGTGTGTGTGTGTGTGTGTGTGTGTGTGTGTACAGAGAGAGAGAGAGAGAGAAGGGGAAAGAGAGAGATTGTAACTCTGCCTTTTCCACTTTGTGACCTTAATTCTTCAGTACCCATTTCCTGTACTTAGTATTTCAAAGAGGTTTCCTATGGTGTGTTACCATGAGACTCACATAATCAGAGGCTTTTTATCTACCCTATGTTCTTAACCCTCCATTCTAATAATGATATGCAGCCTCACATCCACCTAAGATATGATTTTGTCTTAATGGTTAGCATTGGCAGTGATTATTTTAGCTTGTGCTTTAAAAAGCAAGGATGAAAACATAGGAATAAATGTAGGATTATAATCATAGATGAAAATCCAAGTGGCATAGACCAAAGGAAATGACAAGCATATTTAAATCATCTAGTCACTGGCTTCGCAGGCATTTCCAAGTCAGATGTGAACCTGAGTTTGTCCCTAAGAAAGTTCATTATCGTTGACTTGCTGAAGCAAGGTCTTGTTTCAGATAGAAGTGACAATGTGCTGAACAAATAGAAATTGAAAAGCGGTTATTTTCGCTATTGGAAGATTGGGTTGTATGAAAAATTAGTTTCAGAGGACCTTCAAAATTTAAATTAATTTTGTTTGTGCCTACGAATTTCCCCCTTACTGTAAATGCTGTTTGAAGTGTATTTCTTTAACACATGAATAAACAATAGAGACATAGATCCATAAAATCTATAGGAGACTCCCATTCCCAGTGAAGATCATCCATCCCTAAACTTCTTTCAAAGGCTTCCAAATCATCATTCCATTCTCACATAAACAAATTCTCAAAAATTAAAAATAGATTTCCTCTCTATAAAACCCCGACACATCATTATGATAAAGTAGTCCCAAGTAACAAAGAAGAGAAAGAACATAACTCCCCAGTATAACCCATATCTAGAATTTTTAGAATATTAATATTTTAATACCTGTATAGGTCACATACTCCTTTTATTTCCGTTACATTGGACTTTAAAGGTACTTGAGTTTTGTTCGTATTTTTTGGTTAAATATCAAAAGAAAGAGTGAAAAAAAGACCTCAGTGTCTCCTTCTTACCTTCATGACATAAATGCAAAATGTCACATTCTTATTTTCTTTCGTGTTGAGGAGATACACTGCAAGTGTGCCGTAATAATTGTTTTATTATAGAGAAAAAAGTTTCACATTTGTTAATGGAGCATAAGAAAAGAGAGTTTGTCAACTTGATCTTTCTTTCTTTCTTTCTTTCTTTCTTTCTTTCTTTTTTTCTTTCTTTCTTTCTTTCTTTCTTATTGACATATAGTATTTGTACATATTTGTAGGAGTGCATGTGATATTTTGCTACATGCATGGAGTATATAATGATCAAGTCAGGGTATTGGGAGTATCCATCACCTCGAGTGTTTATTATTTATATCTGATGGGAACATTTCAAGTCCTCTCTTCTGGTAAACTTTATCTTAACTTCTAAACAGATACATGATTTTCTTCTCCAAGGATAATGACATAGATAAATTACCATGTGGAATTCTTCTTCCCTGTAAGAAATTGTTTTCTAATTATTAGCTTGAGGGTTTTTGTTATTTATATTATTTATGAGCAAGTGAAATGCATTTATAATGGTTTTTAAAATGTAATTGTGGCCCTTTTCTCTGGTATCTGTACATTTCACATAAGTGTAATTGGCCATTATTTGTTTTTGGTTTTCTTAAGGCGAGGAAGATCTTCTCAGTCCTCCTCAAGACACAAGCACAGGGTTAGAGGAAGTGATGGAGCAACTCAACAACTCCTTCCCTAGTTCGAGAGGTAAGCTCCAGTACCTGCAAGGGACTCAGACTTACTGGAATTAGTCCACTTACTTCCATACCCAACTGATGTGTGGTGTGTATTTTCCATATGGAAGTCAACATATGCCATCGGAATGCAAATTTGGGTCCACTGGTGAGATTTTATTTTTAGGTGTGAATTTCTACTTTGGAGTATTTTGATTTGAATACCTGTGAAATCAAGATGTTTCCAGAAATGAGAATACTACCTTGTATTTATCAGCTATTTTACTTGCTTCACACATTAGTCTGAAGAGTTAATTATGAGGTGCCTTTTACTGAAGAGCAATTATTATGTGACTTTTACAGATGAGGAAAGTAATGCCCTAATGTGTGCTTGCAGGGACACACAGCTATTATGTGCTACAGCAAGGCCTACAACATGCCTGGCGAGTGGTGGTGGTGGGAATTCTGACTCACAATCTGATGCCCTTTATGTTGAAAAATTGTATCTTACTCCATCATTTAAATATAAGAACAATTAAATCTTCATAGACTAATTTATTATTTTTTACCTCAATTGATGGAATACAGGCTTTATAAAAAGGCATTAATATTATTTTTCTTTCTCTCCATCGCTTTGACCTTGTGTATTTTGCCCCTCATACAAAGGCAACATTTTACCCCACCCCCCCAGATTTTTCCCACTACCCTCCATGAGCTTCAGATGTCTTGCTTCATCCAAGGAGATATTTTGCTTCTGTTGCTAGTTTCCTAGGGCATGTATTTTGGTGTATTGCCCTCTCATAAAACAAAGTCACTGTCCTACCTCCCTTCGGTCAATAAAAAGAGTGGCAGCAGTCATCACCTGTGATCAAATAGAAGGAAAGCCCAGAGAAACAAAAGGGAAAAAAAACACAAGGCTTTGTGGCCAGTGATTGGCACCCCTAATGGGCAGCCTGGGAGGGCAGGGAAGCAGGAAATTTGGGCTATTCGTTCCTCTCCATAAGGGCAATGTGGAGGGTGTTTTGAGTAGTGTGTTTTTCCTATCTTTTTGTTCAGTGTCAGTTAACAATGGCCATTTCCTAGCTATTTGATGTGCGAGTGAACGTTGTGCACTGCACATTAAAAGCAATAATGTTCTGGTAGAGCGTTGCTAAGGAACCATCAGGGGAAGCTAATTTTAAATGTCTACACCAGCCATCTTTTCGCTGCTGAGCGCCTCTGATGTGTTGATTTTAACAGATAAAAGCCTTATCTGTCTTCCACCCACCTCCACACCCGCCACCCGCCACCCCCATCCCCATCCTGATATCTTAGACTCCTCTCGCTAGATGTCATGATTCATAATAAGAAGACCATATACAGGCTTGGAAGAAACAAATGCTCTCACCTTTATCCTCATTACTTTGTCCTTTTACTAGCACCTGCTGTGTACTAGTAGAGGTACTAGGGATACAAAGAAGAAGTGACAAGTTTCTTGCCTTCAAGGTACTGATGGTCAATTGGGGATGCAGAATTCCAAAGAAATTCCAGTCACAATGCAATCATATGATTGCTGTGTGATCCTGGGCCCTGAAACTGGTGGCTTGTGTACCTGCTCTGTGGGGGGTTGGTGGCTGCTCTTTTGCACCCTGGACATTTCTTCCACGTCTAAACAAAAGGATAGCAGAGAAGAAGCTACAGCAATGCTCATGGCTCTGCTTCCGCATAGGCAGCCTCGCCTCCCTAGATCCCTTTTTGTTCCTGTATCTCTGATCCACCCTAATTAGCTTTAAGGTGAAATCCTTTGCACCATCTCCCTGCACCCCTCCTTTTAGAGTCCTTAAAGCTAGATACCACATGGGTGTGGAAGAAGCTTCTTGGAAGACTAGAAATATACCTCCTCTGATACGGGATTAAGGCAGTTAGCATCTCTGATATTGATTTACTTACTTGTATGGAAACTTGGGAAACTCTATTCAGGCCACCCGTGTAGTATTTCCTAAATTAGTGCTTATGGAAGAATATCATCCCCTAAGTGCTGATTTGAGTTCTCCAATGTGGGATAAGGAGGCCTTGTCTGTGGTACCAGTTCCATTAACTAAACTTTCTACTTACTCATTCACATCCTGGTGGCCCGAGAAAATTAATTCATATTCTTGAAAAAAACCCGATCGAATAAACAAACAAAAAACATAACAAGAGAGTAGCTAAGGTGTTGGAAGATCTGGCCAGTCTTTCAGTAGTGCTGTGATCTTGACATTTTCTCTTATTTTGCTGCTTCCAGCTAAATTAGGCCTCATTTTATAGACCTTTTTCTCCCCAAATTCAAATGGATTAAGAGTTTCATCATTGTAAAAATAGGCTAATTATAAATTCACTCTAGTGTTTTTTGGATGCTTTATTTCTAACTAAAAGCATTTTTTTTTGAATTTTGAAAGAATGGGGTGTGTGTGTGTGTGTGTGTGTGTGTGTGTGTGTGGAGAGAGAGAGAGAGAGAGAGAGAGAGAGAGTCAGGTTTGGTGGGAACATTTTACCTGTTGGTAGGTAAGTTAGGCTGATGTTGAACAGAAGTTCTTGAGAACCTTAACATCTCAAGATATAGACTCTCCCAAATGGAAGAGCCTTGAAAGGTCATCTTAGCATCTTTGACACTCAGAACAGTGACTTTCGACCTCTTTTGACCATTGTCCATGTAACAGAAACATTTTACGTTGCAAACTGGTGTAAGGATATAAAAAAATTATATGTGTGTTTATACACACACACACATGTGTACACACCCATCGTATGCATATGCTACACATAATATGTATTGTCACATATGCAAAGATTAGAAACAAAAGTTTCATGAAGCAATATCTTCCATACTACATATAATGCACACTCTTTCTCTGTTTTGTTCATTTAAAAATAAAATGCTGATTGCAACCCACTAAATTTATTTTCTGAACCCCTGGTTTAAAAATACTGATCTACCTGATGTCACTTTTCCTTGCCCAGGTGAATATTTTTCCAAAAAAATTAATTTTTAAAATTTTTACCATGAATGTTTCTAAGACCTTGCTAATGTCTTAGAGGATGTTACGGTTTTATTGTAATGCTGCCATCCATGTTCCCATTGTTGCGTTACGAAAAATGAAGTTCACGGTTGCTACAGCTGTTTGAGTAACTCAAAACAGATGTCAGAGCCAGAGGTCAGACATTTAGTGGAAATGTGCTATTAAATACCACCTCATGGTTTACTTAACCCTGCTAGATAATTGCCCACAGAGGAAAAGCCTTTTAAAAAAAATTATGTTTTTCATAAATATAAAATATACAGATAGGCGAGTTATTGTGTACTTTAAACTTACAATTTTCTTTGTTGCCCCTTGCCACAGAGTTGGACCTTAAGTTGTTAGCTAATCTTTATCTTTCCTTTACATAAAGAGCACCTGGAAGCCCAGAGAAGTTAAGTACCTTGTTCATGGCCACTCAGCAAGTTAAATTAGGCCTCTGATCTTATCTCAATGGCCTTGCTAAACTGTTAACCAAGTTAATAAAGGAATTGCATGCTTCTTCATTTAGTGATAAAACGATAGCCAACATTATCCTGCATAATCGACAATATAAAACTGCAGCATGTTCAAGGTGTGAATGTGTGCACATTTAGCTTTGTGATTGTATCTTTTCTGATTAATCTCTAGATATAGTTAGTTGTTCACAAACACTTGGAGAGTTTGAGTGGCTCAGTGTATATTTACACACTGGACAGTAGCCAATTTCTATCTAATCTATTTATCTACCTATAATCTCTTCCTCTGTCTGTAAGTATATGTAGAAGTTAAATTCCAATGTAATAAAAGTCATTATCTACTACAAGACACTTTCTCATTCTCTACCTTCTACAGGAACACTATGCAGGTAGAAAAAATAATAGATATAATTAAAAAATAAACCCTTAAGCGATATGTCCGTAAGTCTCTGATCTTTAGCAGCCTAACAAAGATATTTTTATATGTATGTACATTGACGAAAGAAATGCTTTCCTAGTCAGTGGTATGGTATTGGGCTCTCTAAAATGAGGTGCTACTTTGTATAGATTAATGAGTGATAGGATCCAAGATAATTTCTTAGTGCAGTAAGACAGTCCAGAAAGCAGTTGGCAGTGCTATGTGGGTATTTCTGCTGCCTGTACAATCTCTTGCCTACTGACCTATGCCGCATTATTTTTTTCCCCAACAGCCCATGCCACCCTGTCCCTCTCCTACCATCCCCTCACAAATGAGCCCACATACATTCTGTCAAATGCCCCTAACTTACCAACCCAACAGCTTTGTAAAAGCTGCCATCTTTAAAAATGTAAATCTTGCTCTGTGGTTCTTTTATGGAAAAACAACATAAAGAACAAAGGCAGACGGAAGCATCATATGCCCTCTTTCAGGCACCATTCTGTTTCCTATCTGCTTCCACAAAGGATTTGAGCACTTATCCCTTTACACCAAAGACTAGCAAACTATATACAACCCATAGGCCAAATCTGGCCAGCTACCTGTTTCTATAAAGAACGTTTTATTGGCACACAGCTGCGCCAACTCATTTACATGTTGTCTATAGTTGCTTTCTCACTACCGGGGCAGAGTAGTTGCAGCAGAGTCGAATAGTTGTGATGGAGACTGTGTGGCTTGCAAAGCCTAAAATATTTACTATTAATATCTGGCCCTTTACAGGGAAAATTTGCCAATCCCTCATTTACACTATTATTTTGCTGTCCATTCTGACTCATTACACATACACAGTCACAGGCTTCAGTGCTGACCAACTTTCAGCTCAACAAAACTGTGATTTTGAATTGATTTATACATTTATGTCCACGTTCACCGAAGAGCCTGCATGTTTCAATATTTAAAGTGTAGCCATTTGAATCTTCTTTGACTTGTAATGAAACAGAAATCCTAAAAAGGGACTCATTCCCCCTTAACTTTTTTAAACTGTCAGTGAACTAAGATAAAAGAAAGTAAAGGCACAGTAAGAAACAGTAATACCTTGCAATTTTGACTCTGAAATAATGAATTACCATCAATGATGTCAAGTTCACACTGCCTGTGGAAATTAGACTTTTCTAGACCTGACCAAGGCCTTTATTTAGACTCAGGGCTCCCCCAACATACTTCCCTTTTCCCTCGATTCATTTCCTGCCAACATACCACATTGCCAGATGGACACCCTAACTGAAAGTCTGAGGAAACTCATTTCCAAAGAATGTATTTATAAAATAACATTTTTATCTGGCACTTGTATATATTGATTTATTTACTGGTCAAGAACTTTTTAAAATGTTACAACCAAGTACCCTCTATTTTATCAGTGTAGAACTATTCCTAATACAGTAGAAAACATTACTATTATTATTATTATTATTTTGAGATAGAGTCTTGGTCTGTTGCCCAGGCTAGAGTGCCGTGCCATCAGCCTAGCTCACAGCAACCTCAAACTCCTGGGCTCAAGCCATCCTCCTGCCTCAGCCTCCCAGGTAGCTGGGACTACAGGCACTCGCCACCATGCCTGGCTAATTTTTTCTATTTTTAGTTGTTTGGCCGATTTCTTTCTATTTTTAGTAGAGACGGAGTCTTGCTCTTGCTCAGGCTGGTCTCGAACTCCTGACCTTGAGTGATCCACCCGCCTCGGCCTCCCAGAGTGCTAGGATTATAGGCGTGAGCCACCACGCCCGGCCTAGAAAACATTATTTGTTTTCAACTTTTTTTAAAAAATGAAAAGAGGAGCTTCCTTTTGTACTATGTCAGTGAGCACATTGGGACCCAAGTGATGAGGGAGGATTTTGGAAGAGACTAAGGTTAACATGAATCTGGGAGGTCCATTTTACATAAAATATGGTTTCTGAGGAAGTACTTGAAACAAAACACAAATCATTTGCTGCTGCATATTCAGCAGTGACTGGTTGACACTGAGCTCTGGATATGGTTTATTGTAGAATGAATAAAGATATGCAACCTTAATCACTCTAAGAATCATAATTATGTTCTGAAACGAAATCATACAGCTTTCTAACAAGACTGTCCTTTCCAAAGTTCTGAAGTTTTCAAAGTAGACCAAAGTTATAAAGTTTTCAAAGTGGACCAAAGTTACAAGCCAGAGTAAGTTAGCAGCCTTTGGTATCCAAGTTAAAGTGTAACAGTCAAGGCCAAGTTGCTTATAACTCAAAAGGACTCTTGGCCATTACCCAGCTGCTACCTCACCAATTCAGGTCAGCCAGCATTTATGAAATACCAATAGTGTCTAGGGTACATTATGAGGTACTGGGGATTGGGAGATAGGTATACAACTTGTGGGCCCTGCCTTCAAAGAGCTCATAGTCTTGTGAAGGAAGAGAATTAATCCTGCTACCAGACAGTATAACTATGAAGTATAAAGATTTTTAAAAAAAAAAAAAAAAAGAATAACAAAATGTCTTGCTAAAGGAATCAAAAGGAAGGGGTGAGTAATTCGTACTGGGATTTATTTGAGCCATCAAGGAGGAAATGATGTTCTCCTCCCTTTCCTATCATCTGGTATGGTCTATCACTGGTAACACTCATGGCTGAAGAGCCAGTACGCATTTTTCTTTCTCTTTTCCCTGGCTTGAGGAGCATCATGAATTCCTAGCCCTTACATGGTCAAGTTGCAGTTTTTATATCCTAAGAAATCTCTGACTCACTTAGGAAAATTCAGAAGGAGGACAAGAAAGGAGAGAAGGAGGAAGGGAGGGAACAGGGAGAGGGAGGGATGGAAGGAAAGAAGGGAGGGAGGAAAGGAAAAGCCATACTTAGAAAACCTTTAAATGTATACTAGAAGTTTTGAATCCTAAACTTGAGCTTTGAAAAGTTCCTATGGAAAGTGTACCTCCATACTTCTCCATTCCAGACTAGTGGTTCCCCAATTGTTTCAGGGCATTTTAGTGTTCTTGGAGTCACTTAGCATGGTGGGTCAGGGAGGAAGGGAGATACTATACAGGACCTCTCACAGCTCTGCTTTGATCTACTCTAAATACTGGAATTCCATATAAGATTGTTTTAGGAAGTGTCCTGTTGCTATAGTCAAATAGTTTGAAAACCAGTATTTTAGTCTGAAGACTCTGGAGATAAAAGGAAATTGCATGCCCAAGACATGCTAGGTATGGTCAGAGGCCCCTACTTTTCTGTCTAGTATTCTAATTATAAATACTGTCATAGAACACTTTCTCATCAGAATCTACTTTTCAAAAATAAATACATACATACAGATGTAGGATTCTATGAAACAAGGCCAGTGGGTCTTTTAGCCATTCACTCTCAAGGCTCCTGATATTTGCTGAATTAATGAGGAGGAAGTTGAAAGCTCATTCTTGGATCTGGCTCTGTGGCTTGCCCATTACTGGAACTTACTTCTTCCCCTCATCTTTTCTATTTCCTCAAATGTCCCCAACCCCATCATGGACATACTCAGCTTCTACCAAGAAATTCTCCCAAGAGGATGGAGTCCACCCTCTATGCAGGGTTCTGCCTTGCATTTGGGGTGCAGACTTTTGGCACACAAAGTCAACTGCTGTTTATGTTTCAATGTGCTGATTGTCAAGTCGAGAATGAAGAGAATCTGAGATTTTTGAATATCAAGCTTGAGTTGTCCTTAAAGACAATACCTGATTTGTCAGATTTTTATTCTGTGCCAGTTTTCATCCACTTGAATTCGTGAACTCTATGGATTCTATAAATGACGTCTCCTGGATCATGTTATCTGTTTATACTGATTTTAAGTGTATGTAAAGATTATTTGACTAGATGTGTCTTTTGGGTTTTTTGTTTGTTTTTTTTTTTTTTCAGAAGGGAATAAATCAATTGTCATCTCAACATTTGTTTGGTAAAAGAAGTAAATTGGTATGAAACTGTATATTTATGCATGTTTTTTTCCCCTTTCTGATATCTCTGCCTCTTCCTCTCTCTATTATTAAAGGAAGAAATACCCCTGGAAAGCCAATGAGAGAGGTTAGTGAGATTCAGGCTCACAGCCATGGCTTCTGTCTGTCTCATCCTGCTTTCTGTGTTTGGCATTTGTGTAAGAATTGTGTGCGTGCACGCGCATGTGTGTATTACACATTGTGTCATCATTTAAGGATGGTAGTCACCTCTCCACTTGTAGTTCATGAGGACCATTCCTCAAATGTTCATCTTGTCATCACCATGACGACAGGACCAGGGTTTGGGGGAGCAGGAATCTCTTTAAAATGGCAATCCTTTGCAGTCTCTAGGTTGGATTCCTACAGTTCATCATCTGTTGCCATTTGCAACACAAACACAATCTTCAAAATAAATTTAGACTTGAACATAATTGATGAGTCATAAAGCTTTCTTCCACTTCCAGGACCTTAGCATTTTCTGCCAGAGCCCTTGGTTTTTAATTCTTCTGGGATGACTTCATTTTTCTTTTGTTTTCTTTTTCCCTGGTTCCTACACTCTTTCTTTCCCATTTTAGCTAACATTTTTCAGCACTTACTGTGTGCCAAGCATTGCTCTCAGCAATTGCCATCTTTTTTCATCATGTAATCTTCATGGTAAACCTATGAGGTAGGTATTCTTATTAACCCCATTTTACAGATGAGGAAACAGTCAATGAGAGGGTAAGCCGTGTGTCCAAGGTGACAGCAAGGATTTGGATCCAGGTAGTCTGGCTCCAGAGCCACACTCTTAACTCTTATGCAGTACTGACATGTTATAAAATGCGATTTGAAAGGCTTATGTCATCTCAACTTGCCTTTTAGAAGACACTCCTTTATATTTGGCATTTGAAGCCACATAGAACAATAACCAATTAGGTTAAAACATTGAATGTTAGAGTCCTAAGCGTTTATTAAATGCCTGTGTATGGGATGAAAGGGGTAGGGTGCACTAATTGTGGTTTGGGGTTTTATAGTGAAAGATGCTTCTTACTCCTGTTCTACCAGAAACATTATCTCAACATTGAATTACCTAAGTGATCATTGGATGACAAAAGTTTTTAGTGACAGCCTTAGTGAAACAAGATTGTCCTTACCAAGAGTTTACTGTTAAGGAGGGGAGAAGAAGAACTATCCCATGGGATGACAATAATATATACTGTTCTGGGAGACAGGTTGGATAAGTGGAGAGTCCTTCCTGTATGAGAAAATTCTGGATCCTTAGCAACAGGATGGACTAGAGTGGCCACTGATTCATTTAAACATAAGGAATCATACCGAAAATTCTGCCAACACTGTGCCATGCAAGTCTAATGAATGTAATGATCCTTCCATGTATCTATGCCAGTGCTTGCTTCTAAGGCTTTGGGCAGTGGGGTCCCAGGGAGGGAGTGGTAGGTTAGGAGGAGAAATTGAAGAAACCTGAATCTGAATCTATGAAGCATTGAATGCTCCTGACAGTTTGCCTGGCTCATGTACTTTGTATGTGAGACTTCCTGGGTTCATTCTTATGGTAAGTGCCCCTTAAAATTCATTTTAACTTTTTGTGAAAAATTGCACCATACTTTTGACTACTCTAAACATGTTTCATTCATGGATGAATTTTAGAAAAGGATTGCACATATAATAGAAGTCATATAGACATTTGGAGACTTACTACCTGAGATGTATTATGGTCAGATAAGGTTCCAGAAGCTAGAGAATCAAAACAATAATGACTTTTTTTAATGCTATGAAAATACTCCAAGTGTACAGTAGACCAGATTTTTTTTTCAGAGATTAAATTATAGAGAAGAGAAGATAAGCGCATTTCACTGCAGTATTCTGGCTTTGCTTTGGCCAGTTGAATGCTAACCATTTATTTGGGAAATGTATTTTTTAAAAATAGAGTGCCAGATTGCTATTGAGGTTTTGAATCTTTGCCAGAAAGTCTCAATTCCAATCACTGCAGAAAGCAACTCCCTCAGGCAGTGATGGCGTGTGAGACTAAATGTGCTGCAGTTGTCGCCAACTTGGAAAAACGTACAACTGCCCTAATGTTCAACGCATGGTGCCTTTGTGTTCAATAATCCTTGCTTAAGAATGGATTAAATTAATACTTTTTGTGGACATATTTTTGTGTCAGCTTGTGCCTGAAGCTGACTGCAAAGGCCTCAATCCTGGCCGTTTTCAGTGCCTTTTGCACTTAGAGTATGAGATTGTAATTTCAACTTTAGAAAAATCTGTCAGGTAAAATGAATGACCTCACTAATGCTGTGCCTTACACAAATGGATAATAGAACCAGGATACAAATCTACTTTCTATATCCATGTTACAGTGCAGTTTTACACCTCCAATAGACTGAGGTACGATTCTTTGGGGCAGTATTTTGTCAGAGACAGAATTTTTTTTTCAGGAAAAAAACCTCCATGAAAAAAATTGGACTCATTATTTTGGTGAAACAAGTATTCGTAAATGAAGTAATGAAAGGCATAATATAAATATGGTGAGGTGACTCTAAAAATTCTTCATTTTTATAGCATAAGGATGACCACAAGGTCATTTGTGAAAATTTAAGTTTAAACAGGTTAAAAGCCACCCAACATTTTATGGGAGTGTGTGTGGTATGTTAAGAATAATGAACCTCTGTTTTCCCTGGCAAATTTTTAAATAGCAGATACCCCTAGAACTTACGCCTCTTGAGAGACTCAAGAATTTTCCTTCCAGGTAGTAACTGAACACTATTTCAAGGAATAGAAGCACCACTTGGCTATATAATGTATAAATGCATTTACTTGTTTTATTATCTGTTGAACTTCAGTCCACATCCCCTAGCACATAGTCTAAAAAGGCACTTTTTGATTATCAATACAGTGACAGGAAAAAAATGAGTTTTTCCCTTTTTTGTTTATGTTTTGTAATACATTTTCCAGCTCCCAGGTAGACTATAATATAGTCAGATGTGGGTCATGGGAAATAGTTAGAATTACATTCAGGTATCAGATTGTAAGGGTCTTGGATTTTGTTTTTACTGGCTTTGTTAATAATTGTTAAGATTGCTGGTAATTAAAAATTTACAGTTAGTCCATCTATTTTCAGTTATGCATGAATAATTGTGCAGATTTCCCAGGGTTGCTGAGAAGTCAAAAGTAGATACAAGGGAAGCCCTCCAGCCTGGTAGCATCAGATATATATTTGTATTCTGAGCTCCAAGGAGCAGCAAAGATCCCCCTGTGTCTTCCTGTGGTTTTTATGCCACAGAAAAGCCAAAGATGATTTCAGTTCTTCACTGAGGGCTGCCAAACTATTGGCCTGCTTTATAAGTAGTACATATGCTTTGTTTAAAAAGTTTTCATATTTGCAGTCTCAACCAACATCCAAAGTGACTTCTTTAAACGTAATTAGTTCTCAATGAAACTGCACTGAAAAAGCTCAGAGAGATTTACAAACTTGGTCACCTTAATATAAATGCCTGAGTGGCATTAAACTTTTAATAAGTCTCAAATTGATCTGGTGTCATCACTGTTTAAGTGCCTGCCCATGCATCCTCTTTAGATCTTCTCATATTTTTAAAAAAAGGATATGTCTCTTGAAATAAACATTAGAACAGAATACCTGCCTTTATCTTTAATTTTTATTGGGATTTTAACAATTATTATGGGAATCTACGAAGTTGATACATGGCAAGGTAGTAATAGCCTCGTAAAGCATTTCAGTTCCAAAGGCAGTACTTGAAGAGTAGAAAGATTTACCAATGTCCAAGAATTAAAATTAGCCGTATAAAAATATGGGACATTATGTCTCAGATTATCTTACTCTAGATCTGAATTTTGCTACGAAATACCCAGGGACATTGGGTACTCTACTCTTAGGCTCCATGCTGGGGGATTAATGCTAGGTCATGCCACGTTATTATTAAAAGGCTATTCTGGTAGTTAACCTTCATTTAGGAGGAGATCAAAGATGGAGTCACAGGATACCCAAATCCATACAGTACATGTGGGTCATATTATAATTAGGCTCTAGAGTAATTTGGAATGAAAAGTGATTTTTATTATGAAGCTTCCTAATTCAAATGTTAATAGTATACAAAAAGGTAAATTCAAGAGTTTATTTTTCAACCCAAGTAAAAGTAGAGAGAAAATATCACCTCCACCATAGCCTCAGAAGTAAGCCAACAGCTTGAAATAGCCTTTGAAATGAAAATTTCATGGGGTGATGATGGTGGCTGTGATGATAATGGTGATGGTGGTTGGGTGGTGGTGATGGTAGTGATATTGGAGGTGATGGTGATGATAGTTAACGGTGGTGGTAGTTTGATAGTAAACAATACAAATAGATAGTAATCACTCATAGCAAGGTAGAAAAGGCATATCCCATCATGTAATATTTCCATTATGACAGCAATCTCGTGCTTATCCATGGAATCCTTTTGACATATGATATTTACATTGGGATGATGAGTACACATTATTTGACATTTTTTTTTCATTTAAATGACACCAGTAGCCTGATCCAACATTAAGCTGATACTAACAACATGTAATGGCTTCATTAACAAGGCTTTGCTTCTTCCTGGAAACTGGTGAAAATCAAACCCTGTTGTGTACACCCACGATGCAGCTTCTGTGTTGTCTTCACCCAGAAATGGGGAATGATTTCCCAAACGGCAAAGAATCAGGGTGATGATATCGGCCCCCTTTGTAAAGTCTTTCTTTTTCTTTGCTTTCCAGGACACAATGTAGGAAGCCTTTTCCACATGGCAGATGATTTGGGCAGAGCGATGGAGTCCTTAGTTTCAGTCATGACAGATGAAGAAGGAGCAGAATAAATGTTTTACAACTCCTGATTCCCGCATGGTTTTTATAATATTCATACAACAAAGAGGATTAGACAGTAAGAGTTTACAAGAAATAAAATCTATATTTTTGTGAAGGGTAGTGGTACTATACTGTAGATTTCAGTAGTTTCTAAGTCTGTTATTGTTTTGTTAACAATGGCAGGTTTTACACGTCTATGCAATTGTACAAAAAAAGTTGTAAGAAAACTACATGTAAAATCTTGATAGCTAAATAACTTGCCATTTCTTTATATGGAACGCATTTTGGGTTGTTTAAAAATTTATAACAGTTATAAAGAAAGATTGTAAACTAAAGTGTGCTTTATAAAAAAAAGTTGTTTATAAAAACCCCTAAAAACAAACACATGCACACACACACAAACACACACAAACACAAACTTTGAGGCAGCGCATTGTTTTGCATCCTTTTAGCGTGATATCCATATGAAATTCATGGCTTTTTTTTTTCTTGCATATTAAAGATAGGACTTTCTCTACCACCACCAAATGACTACTTCGCATTGCTCTTTTGGGAATTGTTAACTGAGTGGGGCTGGCTGTGGGTTTTCATTTTATACATCTATATGTCTATAAGTATATAAATACTATAGGTATATAGATAACTAGATAAGAATTTCTATAGATGTTTTAAATTTCTTCTTCAAATGTTCCTGCCACTGTCTAATGGAAAGAAATTGCTTCTAGTTATCCAGGCTTACCTGCTTGGTCTAGAATGAAATTTTCCCTGGAGCCTGAAGCCAGGAGGAAACTACCACACTAAAACATTGTCTAGGGCTCCAGATGTTTCTCATTTTAAACTTTCCACTGACAACTAGAGTATTGAATTTTTTTTTTTAACAGGAACGTGAATGAATACACAGGACTTATTATATCAGAGTAATCCGTTGTTGATAATATTCAGCTTCCTGCTGCTGGCAATGCCATGATTTAGATTTAATGATGCTTTGGTGGAAATCAGAGAATCAGAAGATATTTTTAACTCTCAAGCAGTAGGACGACAATGGTAAGGCTAGAGGGCTACGAATTCCCAGCCAATCCCTGTGAGGAAGCAGGCCACTCTTGAAATAGAGGATTGGATGAATGTTCATAACCATACATAGAGATCTCTATAAGTACAGCTAAATTATTCTGCCTTCTTCTCACTGTCAAAAGGAAGTAGGTGGTTTGGTTTTTGTTGTTTTAGATTATTTTTCCCCCATTGCAATGAGTTTTTAAATGCCGCAAGACTTAATTTAAAATAACCCTTAGGAAAATACATGTAAGACGATAGCCCCATCACATTGTGATACTGATAAATATCAACCCAGAAGCCCATGAACTGTGTTTCCCTCCTTTGCATTTCTCTGCAAGTAATACCACACAGGTTTGTAAGTAGGAAGGCAAATCGATTCAAGTGTTCCAAAAGCAAAAGCTACTCCAAACCCTTTTTGATGGATTAGGCAAGTTCATTAAATATACACAAACACAAATTGTTGGAAAAGAGGAGAAAAACTCAAGAGGAAAAGCTAAGGACTGGTAGGAAAAAGCTTTACTCTTTCATGTCATTTTATTACTCTTTGATTTTTTTAATCATTCATTCAGTAGAAATCACCACGTGACCTATTCTTTTGCAAATCTGTTACCTCTGACATCAAGTGTAATTAACTTTTGGAGAGTGGGTTTTGTCCATTATTTTGTTAATGATTATTAACATCAAACACAGCTTCTCATGCTATTTCTACCTCACTTTTGGTTTTGGGGTGTTCCTGATAGTTGTGCACACCTGATTTCACAGCTTCACCACTTGTCTATTGCATGAACATTTTACTCCATTTTCTTTTTCCTTTATAATTTCCAAAAGAAAACCCAAAGCTCTAAGGCAACAAATTACATGAAGATTTGGTTTTTAGTCTTGCATTTTTTTCCTTTGTGTAATGCTGTACCTTTTCTTTACCCAAGGATTTCTTTTTTTAACCAAGATTTAAAACAAGGGTTACTTTACATCCTACTAAGAAGTTTAAGTTTCATTCTAAAATCAGAGGTAAATAGAGTGCATAATTTTGTTTTAATCTTTTTTTTTGTTTTATCTTTTAGACATTAGTTCTGGAGTGAGTCAAAATATTTGAATAAAAATCGAGAGCTTTATTGCTGCATTTTAAGCATAATTCGGACATTATTTCGTGTTCTTTATAACCACCGAGTATTAAACTGTAAATCATAATCAATGTAACTGAAGCATAAACATCACATGGCATGTTATGTCATTGTTTTCAGGTACTGGGTTCTTACTTGAGTATCATAATATATTGTGTTTTAACACCAACACTGTAACATTTACTAATTATTTTTTTAAACTTCAGTTTTACTGCATTTTCACAACATATCAGACTTCACCAAATATATGCCTTACTATTGTATTATATTACTGCTTTACTGTGTATCTCAATAAAGCACGCAGTTATGTTACAAAAAAAGTGTTGATTGGACTGAAATATTTTGTTTTTATTTTAACTTAGTTATTTAATTTTTAAATAGGTAATATATTCACATGATTAAAAAAATAAAAATCTAGAAAGACAATGAAAAGACTCCCAACCACCTTCTCACACATCATCCTCACTGCCTTATGAGTGAACATTATTAATTTCTTGTGTATTCTTCTAAAGTGTCTTTATTTTTATATAAGCCATTAAGAATATATGTTCCTACTTTTTTTCTTTTATTTCACAGAAGATAGCATTTTCTGCACCCAGTTATGCACCTTGCTTGACTTAAAAATGGACTCAGGAGATCATTCAATATATAAAATGCTTTCTCATTCTTTTTATAGCTGTGTAATATTCCAGTATGTTTGCAAGATATTTTATTTAAGCAGTTTGCTGGGATATGTAGTTGGTTTTCCGTCTTTTGCTATGACAAAACATATTGCACATTTTTCATTTCACCATTTCACTTGTGCACTAATATATCTGTGGAATACATTCCTAGAAGTGAGATCGCTGGATCAAAGGGGGTAAGCATTTGTAGCTTGAGAGACAAACTTTGTGTAGCAATAGTCACAGTGCTTGTTGGGTTTGTTTTTTTGTTTTAGTAATAACAAGTACATGAAGCCAGTTTGCAGTTTATACTTTGCTTCTCAAGAGAATTTCATATCACTTCTATTATTCTTGATGGTACCAGCCCTAAGGGGATGTGTGAATGGTAGGAAATGCCTAAAACAATGCCTCAGAACTGGGTCTGGGGAAGACAGGCCAACCATAGTCATACCAGCATACCACCAAGGGGAGACCCCCTCTCTCAGCCCTACTCTGCTCTGCTTCTTGCCCTGTGAAGGAGGCTGGGAAAATGAGTAGCAATGTCAGCTCTTCTAGGGAGAGACTATCTTTGCCTCCTACTAAGGTTCATGGTGGTGGCACTCATGAAAGAGTGCCCTCGAAGCCCACATATACCAAGAATAATTTTCATCCTACTTAAATAAATATATCATTTATCCCTCCCACCATTACCAAAACCTACCTTTGTTTGACACCTCCAGAACGGCTGTTTTGATGGCACTTACGTAGGTAACTAAGGAATCTTCAATACTTCACCATGTCTAAGACAACCATGTGTGGGTGACTCCGAGGAGGGCATTTGGCTTTCTATTCCATCCTTGGTACATGGAGGGGACAGAATTAATTCGGTTAGAAATTAACATGGATCAAGCCAGTGCAGACTGTGCACCACCAAGCAAAATATGTGTTTAGGAGAAAACACCAAGACTAATGGATGTATTCTGTAGAGCTGCGATGGGATTTCCCTGAATCTGTAATCCTCTGACAGTGGAATGAATACAAAGGCAGGCACTGGCATACTTGCAAAGACTTTGTCTTCAAATTAAGTGTAGGAAGCACACAAATCAAATTCTTTCTCACAATAGCAAATCCACTAGAGTAGGAACTGCAGACACATTCTTCAACATCCCTTGGACTTCAGTGTGCTGTGATCTCATGGACTTATTTGACAACATGAGAATGGCAACATGCCAGACATTCCGTTATAAACAATATTGTGTGAGTGTATGAAGTCTGGGGATATTTGAGAGTAGCTTTTGTGTACAGAAAAGATTATGTACAGTAACTCGAGGCTTAGATTTCATATATACATGTGTGTGCATGTGTGTATTTTACATATATTCAGAATTTTAGCTCTTCTGTAATGTTTTATTTTGAAATAATTCCAACTTAAGAAAAATTGCAAAAATAGTACAAAGAACCCCCATATACCTCTTACCCAGATTAACCAATTGTTTACATTTTGCTCCATTTACTTTGTTATTCTCTTGATGGATAGATGATAGATTTGGGTTTTTACCTGAAACATTTTGAAAGTTGCAGATACTATGCCCCTTTACACTTAAATACTCATGTACATTTCCTAAGATCTAGGACATTCTCTTGCATAACCATAGTACAATTATCAAAATAAAGAAATTTAATGTTATATATAGCCATCATCTACTCCACAGCCCAAATTCAAATATTGTCAATTGTGCCAATGATGTCTTTTATTGTTATATGTATTTCCCTGGTCTGGGATCTAATTCATGATTTCGTGACATTTAGTTGTCATATCCCTTTAAACTCCTTTGACTTGGAACAGTTTCTCTGCCTTTTTTTGTCTTCAAAGACCTTGACATTTTAAAGAGTACAAGTCAGTTACTTTGTAGGCTGTCCCTCCATTTGGGTTTGTGTGATGTGTCCTCATGATTAGATTCAGGGTATGCATTTTTGGCAGGAATGCTACACAAGCAATGATATGTCTTCACACATCATACCAGAAGGCATGGAAGGATGGTTTATGCCATTCTTGGTGCTGACACTGATCACTTGGTTAAGGTGGTACCTGCTAGGTTTCTCCACTTGGTATACATTTTAAAATCTAATTTTTCTTAAACCTTTATGTTCAACTTAAAAATCTTATTTTTATATGTATAAATGTAGACAATTTATATAAAGAAGTCACTTTTAGTGAGCAGGCTTACTCAAGTTGAGCAGCCTGAATTTTATTGTTCTAAAATGCATTTATACATTTACTGTGCTTTATTTTCAAGCCTGTATAATGTCTCACATGGAAGACTTTAAACACCAATCAACAAAACCTCCCCAGTACCTAATTCACATATATCTCAACAAATTAAACTTATAAATATAGTGAATCTCAAGTTCTCTGACACTTTCTAATACCATAAACCGTATGAACTGAGTCCAATTTTCTTATACCATTCGTTTCGAGATCACATGGGTAAAATTACACATTTTAAATAGGAACCTAATACCAATCTCTTCAATTTGCTAATAAGCCAAATTGCCACAAACATCTTAAGCACTTTAAGCAAACACAGATTATCCCTAAATTCAACATGAAAGTATTAAAGCCATGGGTTAGGTTTACTCCATTTCTTTGTTTCATTCTAAAACTT